GTAGTACATTAAATAATGCACACCAATATCATAACCCACAGTTCGACTTAAGTTCGAATTTTGTGGCACATTAAACATCCGATTAGATTGTATGTTCGCTATTTAACCGTTGATCGAAGTAAAATTTACGATACAATATTTATGAAAATACCGTATTAGATGTAATACAAAACAATAAAAAATATATATCGATAATAAATTAATTATAGATCATTATTAAATCTCACTTTATACATTGATAATTCGTTAATTTGGACAATCAAGAGGCACCTACGTCCAACATTATGTTAATATTTGGTATTATTAATTAATAGTAATTATTATTGAACAGAAAGCCGTAAAAACATTACGCTATTATGCAGTATATAACAATATACAAGCTAAAATGAAATATGCAATCGGGTGACTCCCTCATACTTATTAAACAATTTACAAATAATGTCGAATCGATTTATCCCGACGTCGTTAGAACTGCTATTTGATACCAGCGATCTCGGTACTATAAACTATTAAAGATCGATGAGGTCCACGTGTGATGGGTAAAATCTAGTTTCATAAGTTTGTGTGGGTGACTCTGCTGCAAGCACTACAACATGTGTATCATTGCATCAGTGTTCTCCTAATAAAATTATCATTACACTGCAAGAAAAAAACTACACAGAAGAAATTAGCGAAAATTATAACAGAAGAAATGACAAACTTATTCCTAAACGGCAACAATTGGCTTCCTAAAAATTAATATCTACGTTGATAGCAATAAACTTTCATTACGAAAGCACCTAATTAATTTATATCAACAATTTTCAAATAATGACAAGTAAACCAATGCATTTTTTTAAATTTTAGTTATATTTTTACACATTGAAAAATCATCCTGAAGCAACGTGTCCCGAGTGGATAACGTAATGTGTCCCGCCTATTCATGCTACTGTCAATGTCTTTTCTCATCAACAATCGCAAACACACAAAATTCACTTATAATCCAGCCAATTGCTTATTTATTATATAATCATGTAACATTAAAATTCTTATTTTCTTTAGAAACACACCAAAAAATGAGAAAGTTTGATAACTAATTTTACACGGAGCATTCAAGGAAGACTTCTATCACGCCGAAATTTTTTACACAGGAAGCGACTAATTACATAAACTACCACGATGTGGCGCTAATATCCACAGTTGCCGACTTTTAAGCCGCATCGATGCCACCTTTCCCTGAAGCAACCAGCCTTATATTTTTTTTTGTCTAAAGGACGTCCCTGCTGTTTATAGCGTTGCGTAATCAAGTTTCTACTTTGTTTACTCGGTTTTCTTCCCTTTTTATACGGAGTCTATTTTCTCGACTCCGTCTAAAAACAAAAGCCCTCACTACGCTCAGTCCTTCGTTGTAAGAATTGCTTTCACTTTCATAAATTCTGAATTAATTCAATAAATTAAATTATTCAAATTACAAAAAAAAAAAATGTTACTGTAGACGTTATCTTTTATCGAATAAACGTCGAAGTAAATGAAGCTTACCTAATTATTTTTATATTACAAAACAATGATCGTAATTAATTGTAGTCTGGCTATTCGTGTCTGTTATATAACAGAACATTACGAGAGTAATCTTACATCGATACTAATTTCGTCGAAAGATGGAAATAATAACCGGAAGCTTATTAAATTTCATATCGTTACCTCAACGATTCCTAATATTTATTAGGCTACGTATTCTACATTATATCTGTTACGCGCTACTAAGTATTTTGCTGCGTAACTTATTAGCGAACGTCTTACTAAGTCTATATATAGCCTATATATTTTATCGTCACCAGAGTTTATCGCTAATGTTATTTCTCGACAAACAATTTAGCTTATTTGAGATATTCTCGGAAATATATCTTACAAGGTTTCTTATGTTTTAACGTATGCGACCAGATGATGCGTAAATACAGATCGATAATGCTGATCTGAAATTGCCACTGTATCTTCATTTGAAAAAAAGTGTTGTAAAGATACGTTCTGGTACGTTTATATTCTTTGTGTTTGTGTCCGGGAGGATGGATGATCTAATGTTACTTGTTATTATATCTTAAAAAAATTTGAGTAAAAAAAATCTTCGTTTAAATTGTCTAAATGATAATGTATCCATGTACTGTACAGTACTTACTTCGCCGATAAATGTAATAAATCGATAGGAGGATTATTATATAGAATTATTTGCTACGAAATCATTCATTATAGCGATTTTTAATTAAATACTGTATTTCAAATTTTTCGAATTAATAATCCAAAATTAAGATCGATTTTAATTTTGTCTGATTAAATATTTCGAAAAAATTGGATAATTATTTCTGAATATTTATAAAAATCAGGGTTTTTCGACGACAATTTTTTGATTATACATTTATCCACTAAATTCCGGTTTTGTCCTACTAGAACGTTCGAAAAGACATGGCGAATAAATATCCTGGGCCCGACATTTTTACCTGTTTTATTTGCCAACTGGTTTTTGTCTCTTCCCACGTTTCGTTTCCGCAACCGATTTCATTTTCGTTTTAAAAAAGAACAAACAAAGACGATTATTATCTACAAAAGTTACGACCGAGTTTACCTAAACTCTTCATAAAAAATGTTCGACCTCCATCGATTTTATCATCTTTTTTAAAATGGCCAATAATCTCATTTGAAAATATCTCTTTAATCACGTATACTTCGAATCGCTTCTCTGAGATCGAAAGAGCATCTTACATGAAGAAAATCCGAAGAAAATATGAATCTTCCCTAAATTGGGACGTTTCTTTCCAATTTGGCAGAGAACATTTTAAGAAAGCCCCGTTTTTGAAGCAATGTTCTTCGTCGTCGGGTGAAACATCTCGGAAAGAAAAGGAATGAATTTCAAGTGTTTTTCCGTAACGTTGGACGGAAATGAGAAAAATCCTTTTGATTCGAAAAAAAATTCCCTTAAATTAATGGAAGAAGCCTCGAATTTTCGTAGACTTTGCACAAATTAACTCTTTTTTCCGAAAAGGTGTGGCCATTGGAGATTTTTGTAGGCACCCCGTTCTCGCCTTCTCAGTGGAGAAACGGAATGGGAGAACGTGAATGTTGCACGATTTTGAGAGGTCGGCGAAGGGCTTAATCGTCGGGCGGTCTACTCCGGTACAAATTCTTGCCTTAATTACGGCGGGCAGTTTTCGCCCATGGGACGAGAGACTCGTCCGTAAAGGTCGAAACGATGGAACCGGCGAATCGGAAAGGATCAAAAAGGAAGGAAAAGAATCGGTGCGTTCGTCGTTTCGGACGACCAAACGGATCCGCGTCGAGAAGAGAACGCTTCGTCAATTCGGGAAATTTAGTCTCGTCCGAAAGAAGGGCGTCTGGAACCATGTCAGTTAGCCAATTTTTGTCAAATTTATTCGAACATCTCTCCGCAGTCGCATTCTTCCAGGAAATCGGCGTTCGTCTCCGTCCGACTTTTAATTAACGTATAATTTCCGTTCTCTTTCGTTAAAAGCTTCGTTCAGTTTAGAAAAAAAATTCAGTCGGAGCGAATCTCCGGTTTCGAAGCTCGTGACGTCATCCGACAACTTCCGGGAAGCTCGATTATTCTCTCCCGGAAGCGGCGCCGCCTACCCTTTCCTCCGAATAAGTCGTCGTCCGACATTTCTCCGTCGACGTCCGACCCGACCCCTTTGTTTTTTTCGGGATTATTTCAATTTACTAACCGGGTTAAGCGCTATCCCATCGGTCGAGGCGGAAGTCGAGGTGCCCTCTTAACCCGGAAGAAAGCGAAACGTGTCGACGAACTTCGACAAATTAGTCCGGACGGCGCGGTTTCTCGATTTCCTGGGGAATCGTTTCGGAATTTGACGGCTGGCGTCGATTTTCGACAATTTCCGAACTTTGGCTGGGGAAAGTATAACCGGGCGAGTAATAAACCCGGATCCTCCCCCGCGGGCGGGTGGCGCGAGTGGAATCGATGACCGAGGACGTTCGGGCAATCCGAAAGCGGGAGGCGCGTTACCTCGGTAACCATGGCGACCGGGGCGCGCCATTGTTCGGGATCTCCGTCCGCTCGCGCGACTTCCGACCGCCGTCGTTCCGACGTTACCTGTTCGGTGCGGAGGAGACGTCCCGCCTCTTATTTTCGTTACGAGCGTAACGAGGAACGCTTCTCTTCGTACTTTACCGGATTTGGGTCGGAGTTACGTCGTTCTGTTTGTTTCGTCCCCCGAGTCGAACGGCCTCTTTCTATAATCCCAGAGTCGATCGCGTTGTCCTATTCGCTCCAATAATTTATGAGATTTTTTTCCTAATTTTTCCCATTAGCCGCTCTTCTTTAATCGAACGAAACGTGACGAAAAATCGCGGTTACGCTATCGATCGTCTCTTCGTAACTATTTCCAGGTCGGATCGTTTCGAGAGAGCGGAACACTAATCCGAACGAGAATTCTCAATTAAAATCACTTTTCAAATGAAATAGTTTTTTAAATTGGCCGGACCGACGACCCGTTTTCAATTAAAAACTAAGAGAATTTTCTGTACGAAATTCGAGAGAAGTGAAAAATTCGAGGCAATTACACCAGTCGCTACAATTATTTTATCTAAATAAAACATTACGTAATTAACAATTGCTTCGTCAGCGAAACCTTTAATAACAGTTCTTAGTCGATTATTCATTTACCGATGACCCAATGCTTCGCAACCAAACGTAAAAATATTCCATTCTTAGAATATTTACGTAACGATTGCTGCTTAACGCAGAAATTATTACATTTTTAATAAACTTGACGTTTGTTCCTCGGAAAGACGGCGGCATCAGAGACGAAAAACGTAAATTCGAGGGAGAACATGCAAAACACGAAAAATCAGAAATGTGTCCGGTCGGCATCCTCGGTAGAATCTTTTCTTCCCCGCCGAGGATTACGTCTTTTAATAAAGAATTATAAAGAAGACGAGGACCGGTCCACCCGCTCGACGGCTTAACGCTAAGAGATACGGAAAGAGGAACTTACCGGAGACGAGAAAGAAGACGGCAACCATACCGACCGAGATGCACATGGTGATCGCACCGTCTCCCCCACGACACGAACTGGCAACGGAGCCCATCGACCGTTCGTTTCGACCGTGTAGTGACGTCATGGCAGACGTTGGACTCGTCCGGAGGCCGAGATCTCGTCGTTCCCACCCTCCCGTATCGAACGACTAACATTTATGCGTTCGGTTTCCCGAATACTTGCCGAACTAACTTTTTCCTTTCCAAGATTTAGATTAAGGTTTAAAGTTACCGACGAGACGTTTCCGAGCGATGAATTAAAGCAGAGAAACTCGTAATTCCATTCCGATTAAATCGTATCGTTTGTTTCGATCGACGAAATTTGCATAAAAATATTTTGAAAATAATTTCATCGAAAAGCGAATTACACCGAAAAATGTTAACCTTAAATTTGGCCAGTTTTACAGCGCAGCGCTAAGAATTCTTCCTGCCATTATAACGATTTTCTTTTCTGAAACGTTTATAAAAGTTTATTTTGTTTTCCGGCAGAGGAAATCTTCGTAAATAAGAATCATGAGGAATTTATAATGGCGCGCCATACTAAATTTCGAGAAGATTAGCAACGTTCAGTTGAAGTTAAGAGGATTTTCCAGGACGTCCCTATAAATCGCTTTTATAAATTTTACTAAGGAAAATTTAATCTATCGATTTATTTCCTTCAATTTGTTTTTTGCACGTGGAATTTTATGAGTATTCGGAATATTCTCACTTAAAGAATTACCATAATTTAATAAAGCTTTCTTCTGGCGTAAAGTCGCCAAAGACCACTTCCATTTGGGCGTGTTTTAAAATGGCCGACGATAGAAAAACGTGGGAATTTAACGGTTAGAAGAGGTTTAAAATTAGAGGGAGAGAAAAATCGATGGTTGGCCTTCGCCCTTCCGCCGCCGTCCGAACTTTAAGAAAATATTCGGTGGTTTTGGCTTCCCGTTTAAAATTTCGACTCTAATTTTTTCTTCGAAATGACGAATAAGCTTAAATGGTGAGAAGATATCTTCGTTTTACCAGATCGTTGCTACTTTATCTTTGAAGCGAAAAGTGTTAAACGATATTTTTGCAAAATGGATCCGCCACGTTTTTAGAATTTAAATAGATTCTTTGGGGAAAAGGAAGAGAGAATCAAGGTCGAATTAGGAACCGTTCTCATCCGGATTCCACCTTTTCCCTTTTCACAAATCGCTCTTTTATAAATCTATATTATTATTCTGCCTATCATTATATTAATACTTTCCCTATCTGCACTATTGTAGTCGTCATTATTCCTATAGCGATACGCGAATGAATTCGCATTGGATCCTTTCCCGAAGCAAAAATTATAGATTTTAAAGAATAAAATTTACGCGAAATAAAAAGAATTTGGAAGAGAATAGACGATTTAATAAGGGTATACAAGGATGTTTTAGTGTTCTTTCTACATTCGATTGGGCCCGGTTAAAACAAAAAAAAGAAAAACTTCTTGGTTATTCTTCGAGCTTAGATTCGTTCCTATTGTTAAATATTGCCCATTGGGACGGAAGACGTCGATTTAAATTCGCGAAAATCGTCTAAAATTCTTATAATCTGTAATGAAACTTTAATGAAGCGACTAGAATAATTCTCCGACTTGAAGAGTATTTTGACGTGTCACTATCAAAAAGGATGATAAAATAGCCATTTTCGATAGGGACACATTTGATGCCAAATTCGCTGGTTTAAACGGATCCATAATTGCGAACATTTTTTACAAGATGTATTAAAAATTTCCCATTGTTAAAGCAGGTAGGAAATGACTAAATAAGATTGTTCTCGGTTAAAAATTTTATTAAAGATAATCGAGTTAACAAATTTATTTGGAAAAATGTCATCTTCTCGACTTCAATTTTATAAAAAAGGAATAGCTCAATAAGTAATTTCCGGGGTAGACTTCATCTTATTATTTAGTTTTATTTTTTTTAATTTTCTTTTATTTCTATTATTTTGATACTGTCAGAAGTAGTTTTTGTCAATGTCCACTGTCTTATTAAGGCTTTTAGTTCAAACCACGTCCTATATTGTTTTTATTTATTTATTTTAATATTACTGGCCACGGTTTTAATAAATAATGTCTTCTTCGACGTTTTCATTCTTGATGTATTTTTTTCTCTTGCATTTTCTTTCCTCGCGTAATTAAAAATTTATTCGAATTCCAAAATTTTACTTTAATTTATTTATTTATTTTCAAACTTATTTTTAATTTTATTCAATTTAATTCAAAAATGAATTAAAATTTTTAATATCAAGTTTTGCTTGCTTTATCTTTATAAAATATTCTTTAAAGTATTTGTTTTCCTGCACATCTGTTACTTTTTATGTATTAAATTTATTATATTTTTGTTTTTCTCGTTTTGCTAGAAGCTACCGAGGCCACTCGTTGCACAAATTCCCATGTAAATAAATAAACACTATACTTTTAGCTTTCTAAAAAGGAATCGATAGCATTTAAAATATTAAAATTTAAAACGTTCCTCATCTCTAATTCCCTGGAAAAAGTTGCAGAAGAAGTTTGACCATCGAAAAATCACAAGGCTTCGTTCGGTTCGAAACCTTTTAGTAATAATTAGTAAAATGTGGTTCGTAGCAATCTAACTACACTAAGAGTTAACGAATTAAATTGTGGAAATGGTAGAAATTTTAGCCTATTCGAATAATTTATGTATAATAAAAAAGAGAAAATTAGCAAAGGGCGAGACGTGGTAAATATTCTCCAGATAGATTTAAAGACATTCGTCATAATTTTGTTTGGATTTATCGGTTGCAGTCAAGTACAATTCTTTTCTGTTTATATTTTAGTATAAACAGAGAATAAGTTTCGAAAGTTTGTAAATTTATGGCTCATTAATCACGGTCTTAAACCATTTTACTGTGAGATATTCCTACTTATTTTCATAAAAGTCAATCTACTTTCATCTTAGACTTATTTTTCACGCTCGACCGATTTTCTATTCACAATTTATTTTGTTCATTCTTTTTTTTATTTATTCGTTTTATCTTTTTAACAAAATCTTCCTCGAAATTTTAATATTTGAATTTATGATACTTTAAAGATTTTACGCGGATTTATAGATAAATTTTAATGTAAATTTAGCGAAATTTTGTTGTTTTTATAGTATAAAGAATATTAAAATATATAAATTTCGGTAAAATTCGTAACATAAAGTAACGATTTCAAGCAAATATTTGTAGGTATCAGTAGAATGTTTACCACTAGAATAAACATACATTCGTTGCTAAAAGACGTAATTTGTCACGAAATCCGAGTTTCATATTTAAAATAGCCAAGGTTTATTTATAAAATCGAAAGGTCGAAGCATTAGAATCAACCGTTTTGCCGGATTAAATGACCAAACACGTTTATATAATAAGGGCTTATTTTATGTAGCGTAAAACGAGACATTCTTAGTTTTGATTATGTTAATTCGACTTTTTTATCTTTTGTCTCAAAACTACTAAAAAATATAAAGATGTAGGGCTTTAAAGTAGTTTGCGATGTTTTTTAAATATTTAATTAGGTCACGTGTGATATTTATTATTATTATTATATTGATTAATTAAAATATAAAGGCATTATTTACAGGAATTTAATTTCTGCAGATAATGATGATCAAATTCGAACAAATAAAAAATTTGGTAAAAAGTTAAATACATTATTTTAAGGTAATAGGGACGAGACCGAATCGACCCGCTTATCGATAACATTGTTTGCAATTATAGAGTTTTTATTGAATTCCAACTAACATTGATATTTGAAACCGGTTCCAGAAAAAAAAAAAAGGAAATTGTATAGAAAAAATGGGAACGATTTGTTTCAGTTATTTACTCGACTATTGTTAATCTTGGATGGAGAATAAGACGACTTTGATAATTTCTTTTCTTGGTGGAAATCAACTCTTACAGGAAGTTGCCAGGATGTAAATAACGATTATTTATCTATAAATCTAATAAAGAAAGTAAAAGTTTTAATTGCTTTATTTATAGAAAATTCTTATTTCTTTCCAACAGAATTTCTTTTTTGTGTTTGCGGATATTTTCTTGTTTAAATCAAATAATTTCGATTAATCTTTCCTAGTTTTATCAAATAAAAATTTGTTTTATCCGATTATAAAAAAAGATTTAAAGCAAACATCAAAGTAGAACTTGATATTAAGAGATAAATTTTAATAATTAAAAATGTTTTCCCAATTCGGTTTGTCAATTTTGTCGAATGTTAAAGAGAAGCAACGACATTACCGTGACATTGAAAGCAGCCATTTCCATCATAAAAACAAATTTTCTGTTTGAGTTTATTTTTGTTTTCGATACAAAAACGATCATAAAATTCGAAACGAGACGGAAAAAAAACGTGTTTATAAACAAAGTGAAAGTGTTTTTGTCTACGCAATCGGAATTAAAAATTTAAAAATAGAACAGATTAGAAATAAATAGAGACAAATATACTTTGTATTATATTTTTAATTTTTAATTTTAATTAAGATAACGTAAAGAATACGAGTGGAAATAAAAATAATATTTAATAATTCTAAAATAGACGATGATCGGATTAGAAAGACAATTTGTTTTTGAATGAAATTTGTAAGGAAAGAGCTTTCGCTTACTTCAGCGACAACGAAATTAATTTAGTTTTATAGAAAACGTCCGTTAAAACCCTTATAATGTTTCTTTTCGCGTTTTAATCATTTCTAATTATAAAGGGAAAAAATATACATTCGATTAATTTTCTTCATTGATTAATCACAATTTAAATACGTCTTGAAATTAGTTTATTAACTCTGGTAGTTGCCAAAGTATTTCGCCTCAAAGAATTTATTTTATAATTAAATTTTCTACTCTATACGTTTCGTCAATTAAAAAATAAAAACAAAAAATAAAGCCGTCGACGTCGTTTGTCTAAAGACGAAAACTATGGAGATTTCGTGCGATGCAATTAAATATTTATGACAAATTTATTTGGAATCCCGATGCATATTCCATTTAAAATTAAAAAAAAAAAAAAAAAAAATTAAGTACTTCGAAAACAAATTCCAGGTCCGTTTAAAGTAGACTATTAATAACTTTTTAGATATTGTATAATTAATTCTGTTTGATCGTTTTGTAGAGCAATT